CCGGGCAGTTCTATTTGACGATATATATATATATATATATATATATATATATATATATATATATATATATATATATATATGCACTTAGTCTTTTAAGGTAGCAAATGACAGAACCGTTGAACTTAGAAACAAGGTTCACACTACCCCTTCTTACCACCAATTTATTCTTAGTTAATAATCTTCTCGTTTGTGATAAGCTATAGTCAGACTATCCAACTTAAGAACAATTGTCTGACTCATCTGTTCATAAGTACGATAATAATAGAGTATGGACAAATTTATCATTTGGTTTCGACATGTGCGTGGCTCCAGACCAGACCATCCAACTTAGGAACAATTGTCCGGTTTTTCACCTGATTCCCCCTTAGAATAAACAAGAAAAAGTTCAAGTCATCCAATCTTATGGAATAATTGCTTAAACTGTCTCTTTCAAAAACAAAAGAAACATAAGAAACCCCAAAATAAACCAAGGTAACCAAGGTATCCAACTTAGGAACAATTGCTTGGTCCTTGAAAAGACAATCACAGACAACCCTCGCAAGTCATGACAACCAGACCATCCAACTTAGGAACAATTGTCTTGTCCTTCAGGAAATCAACATAAAACACAACACAAGGTCATTTAACCTAGAAATAATGTTCAACTTTTGGTTGACCCGGTTAATCGCAAACAAAACCACCATCCTCCCGCCTTCCCCAATGCAAAACTCTTTTACGATCTGAGTTCAGACAAACAAAAAAAATGAAACTGAGATTGCGCATGTCTTTCTTTACTTAAGTCTGATTAATGTCTTGAAAATCAAACGTAAAGTCAAATAAGGATGCATGCAGTATACTCAGTCCAACTGTAGCAAGATGTACACATAAGGGTTTTAACTGGGTTTATAAAAGGAAGTATTGGTTACCACTCAGTTCCCTGGTTCCAGAACCTCGCCTAGGTTCTGGCAGAGCTCCTGCAATCTGTGGGGCGGACCTCCCACAGTGGCTTTGACATAGATTATGGGTCGGAATCCCGCCCGCCACCTTTCTCCCAGAACCAATAGATTAGACTTAGAATGAGAAGGGTAAAAGGAAAAGGATTTAGTCACTTCGATCCAAGGAAGGTGCGCTCAAACTCGCATGAGAGGACCTTGATTCCTTGTCGCGCCTAAGGGCCCTGCAATGACGCCCAAACCGTAGCAAGAACAGCCGAGCCGCAGTCAAATGCCACGAAAATGGCTGACAAATATGACCAAACAAGCGGAATAACTCCTACTATACGGTCCTCTGAACCTCAACGGTGAGCCCCTTCGCAACTTGGTCACTCTTCCCCAGTTGAATTGTCGTTCCCTCTGATCAAACCGCCTCTATGCAAACTAGAAGGGTCGTGTTGGGATGGAGCATGCCCTCGTGCTCTATTCGAGTGGCAGGCGAAAACACAACGATGTGTAATGCCCAAGACTCAAAAAAACTATGCTGCTCAAAGGAGTACAGCAACAAGACTCAACAGGCAGTGACAATCCTCAAACAACAGTTGCACCCGAATTGTCGAGATTCGCTTCGGCAGCAAACAACGGGCTCTCAACTGACAGCAGTCCTGATAGGCGAGCACCCTCACAACTTACACTCCTACTGAAAGCCGAACTCAAACGAGCTTTGCAACTTGAACGCTCTGTTATCGACAGGTCACGCCCCCACAATTTACCTCCACACTGGAACTCCAAACCAACCAAATTGTCGCTCCTCTACTTCACACGAGTTCTCTGCTCCCGTCGAGTCCGCCTTAGTCAACCTTCTCCAAACAGCGTCCCTCACTATGCTCAAACCCCGACGATCGGTATGCACGTCAGTATTGAGGCAACCTTTCACTAAGCTTTCCCTATATCTGTTTTCTTTCTTCAATGACACCATGAGAACCGAATGATCGATGCGGTCAAAAGTAGAAGAGGCGCTGACACGGTACCAACAACGACCAAAGTCATAGGTTTAGTAGCAATCTAGCCCGCCGAGGTGGGAAACAACAATCGAAGTATGGACATGCAAACCGCAACCACTTAGATCCTACATCCCTCGTGTTCAGACATCGCACCCTCCAATAGGTAAGCTTCCCTCTTCCGCGACTCTCCTCCAACCACTTCGATCGGTAGGATGAGCAAAACCGAACTGAGTCTTCCGCCAGAATGAGGACAAATGAACGCAATTTGGCCTTGCGGCTCGACTTTCGATTGTTGCTGCACTACCAGCCTTCAACCGTAAGTGCTATCCCTTCTTTCTCTCATTCTTCTCACAGTCCTCCCTCCCACTGTTCACCCTTTTCTTTCCTAATGCCTGGTCGCCCTGACGGCCAGGTTCATAAGTTTCTTGCAGTGTCGTGAGGCAGGGTACGAGCAACTTATACCAGTATAGCTACCTCCTGTGTGATCTTGAGGATGAATCCTTCAACATAGGCAAGTACAATGTCTCTACATCCGCTTGTTGCTGCTACCACCGTTGCCTCCAACCTGAGCACGATAAGACCAGA